TGTCACCCTGTTTAGTATGCTGCCACCATCTTGTTATTTCAAGAAATCTCGTAAACTTATCATAGCTTGCGTCACTGTCCTGGCTTAACTCGTAATTCGCCGGAGCGTTGGGAGGTCCTGGAGTCGTCAAGGAAGCGGGTAACACTTAAGGAAATGTTGGGTTGAATTAAACTCGTACACATTCCTATCCTATTCTATTTACCTACATCGTTATATACACTATACACACACTGTGCCGACGTTCGTCGGTTGTATTACACTGGATAATGAACCTGCAGTCATCATTGGTTCTACCTCCTGTCACCCTACTGGCGGGTCTTCTACGCCTCGGTATCTCGCATGAACCTAGTCAATCTAGTAGCCTATCTTTCCCTGTGGTTTTACACTTTACAATTATCACTGTTACCTTAATGTTCATGGCTATATGAAGATGGTTTCACTTACTTGAGATGAGGAAGAAGATGCTCGTCATCAGCAACCAGCGCACACTCACGGCCATCGCTCTCTCGGCGATAGCCTCCCCCGAACTCTGAGTTACTTAATATCAATCAAACGTCTAAAGGCAAAAGGTTTTTTGATTAAGTTTTCTAGGGTTTATATAACCTCTCTTTGCTGATTCTTTGAGTTCCGGGTAGGTTGGCCTGCCCATTCTGACGTGATTTTGGTCCCCCTCATTGGTTGCCCATCGAGAAGGGGTTGACTCTTTCGGGTCTACCGCCTCCTCCGACTCAGCGTTTTCCTACTGCCATAGTGTTTATGACCCATTTCATATAGCTCGTCCCTCTATGTCAGCGCTATTACACTGCCAGGTTAGCATTCTAATGACTCAGGCATTCCCTGTTACAATTCATTGTAGACCTAAGCTTCCGGAATTGTTTCATCATGGCTGTTTCTTAATCTTACAGTCTAGCTACTATTATTCCAATTTTTTCCCAAAAAACTATATCTACATGTACGTAACCTTAGCGGCATTACATGGACGTGAACAAAGTGGTGTGCATGCAAGCTGCCAGTCGTCTCCTACAGCAGTTTGAAGATGAAGGTGATGCATTTTTTAAGTCTATAGTGACCACCGATGAAACATGGGTGCACTACTTCATTCCCGAGTCCCAGCAGTCATCATGTGAGTGGTAGCATACCAGTTTTCCCAAACCCAAGAGAGCACAGAGGAGCCGTTCGGCAGGAAAAGTGATGGCAATGTTCTTCTGGGACTGGCAGGGGGTTATCCATGTAGACTTTCTGACAGATGCCAGAACAGTCAATGCAGCTTATTACTCAGACCTCCTGGTAACAAACATGAAGGAAAAAATCCGATCCAAGCGGAAGATAGGTGGAAAGCGGGTAGCCTTCCTTCAAGACAATGCACGCCCCCATACGGCCAAAACAACAATGGAAACCCTCCAGAAATTGAAAGGGAACCTTCTGGCAGGCAGCCACCGTACAGTCCTAATTTGGCCCCAAGTGATTTCTACCTGTTTGGAAGGCTCAAGTTTGACTTGCAAGGCATGCGGTTTGTGGACAACGCCACCGTCATGCAGACTGTTCGGGAGTGCATACGCCGCTGACGACAAGCCTTTTTTGAAAAGGGCATCAGGATGCTTCCAGAACATTGGAAAAAATGTGTTGACCCCAGAGGGGAGTACGTCGAAGACTGACATGTGCAAGTAAGTGTTTGGCAATTACGGTTTAAAAAAATCAGTCTGGGTCATATTTGAACCACCCTGTATGTAAAGAAACACGACGTTTAAATTTTTCCATTCTAGCTTTGGACTCAACAGACCAGCCTTCCACTGACTCATCATCACACACTGCCCTTGAGGGACTTTCTGAAATGATATCACTAAACATGCATACTACAGGGTGGGCCAGACTCAATTAGGCAGTTTTTGATTAGATGTTATTTTTATTGATAAATGTTAACAATTGCAATGGTTACAAAAATGGAATCGCACACACATAAGTCATCGATTTTCAAGATGCTGGTCAACCTGGGCACCACCTAAGTCAACACAGGCTTGCAGACGCAAAGCAACATTTTCACAAGCCTTTCTACACATATTCACCGGAACTTTATTGAACTCCTGAACAATCACCTCATGCAGATGTTTCACACTGTCAATGGGATTAGCGTACACCTTGCCTCTGTGGTAACCCCAAAGGAAAAATTCTGGTGGGGTGATGTCGGGTGATCGGGCTGGTCACTCCACAGGCCCTCGACAGCCAATCCAGCGTTGAGGAAAAACTTGATGCAAGAACGCCCGAACAATATTGGCGAAGTGTGGTGGGGCCCCATCTTGCTGCCACCACAGTTCAAAGTTCTCTTTCCTCTGAAGTTCTGGGATGACACTTTCCCTCAGCAACTTTAGGTAGGTTTCCCCCGTGACGCAACCTTCAAGGAAGAACGGGCCAATCAGTCCTTCGTACGTCATGCCGCCCCACACCATCACTCCCGGGGACTGGAAATCGTATTCAATTGTGGCACTGGGGTTCTCTGGCCGCCAAAACACACAGTTGTGTCTGTTGACTGATCCTGATGTGTGAAATTTGGCCTCATCAGTCCAGAAAATATTCCGGATAAGGTCAGGGTTCTCCTGAAACTTGGTCAGCATCAACTCGGCGAACTCAAGTCACCTGTCCAAGTCATCTTCGTTAAGAACATTAATAAGCCATGGATGGTATGGCGTCAGCTTCATGTCACTCAAAACTCTCCGCAAACTTGTCCTCGAAATGTCCAGTAGGGCCAACAAATGGTGGGTAGACTTAAATTTCTGAGGAGATGATGCCAGTTCCGCAGCAACATGTGCTTGTGTGTCAGCAGTTCAGACAGTTCTCGGCTGACCAGGATGCTTGGGATTCAAAGCACTGGCAGTTTCATCAAACTGCTTGTTTATTCGGACGACTGTGTCCCTGCGGACTGCTAGCGGTCCAAACTCTTCCAACATCCTGCGCTGGACTTCTGATACATTGTTAGTAACTAAGAAAAGGCGCACACATTTTACACGCTGCTCGATAGACAACCGTCTACCGGCCATGACGTTTCCTCGATGCGCACTAAGTAGGCAGAGTATTGACCTCGTTCACAGCATACCGTATGATGCTACCATGTATCGACAACAAAAGGTACTTTCCCATTATCCTGTGTGTTGTTGGATTGGTTAGTTATTAATGATCAAAAACTGCCTAATTGAGTCTGGTCCACCCTGTATGTAATATTTTTTTAAAGAAAAGGTTGAGAATGCAATACAAACAGAAGGATATGTGCATCCCAGTGCCACTTATGCTGTCATCACTTGGTCCCGTTTATGGCTATTACCAAAGACCCATATTCATGAGTAACATATAAACACATAGTCAATCATAAACTCCATCCTATTATGCATATAGGAAGAAATCATATTTGCTACTACAACAGCTTGTATATGTTATTACAGAAGGCAAAAGTTCTCAGTGTGCTGTGTATAATACAGCTACCATGGTGTGCTGTCAACGTAAAACAATGAAATCCATGATATCTCAAATCATATATTCAGCACACAATAAAATCACAACTGTTCAGTGTTGTAATGAAGTGATGCATGTAGTAAACAGGTCAAACACTATTTTAGGGACTTACTGTATGTTGTGAACGAGGATAAAAGGTGAAAAGGTAAAGGTTCAGCTCTTCCAGGGAGTCAGGACAGTGCAGTTGGTATAGCGACTGGGCTACGGGCTGAACAACTGAGGGGTCAGAGTTTGATTAATGGTAGGGTCAAGAAATTTCTCCACATTGTCCAGACTGGGTATGGGGACCACCCAGCCTCCTATCCAATGAGAACTGAGTGCTCTTTCCCTAGGAGTAAATGGCAGGGGCATGACACTGACCACTCACCTCAAATTAGTGCACCTGTGTGTGTGTGTGTGTTTGTGTACATGCCTGTACATGCACATAAATATATATAACTATTATCACAGCCTTCTAAAATTTATCCATGTGTGTGAATGACTTTTCAGTTCAAGATCAGATAAAAATATGGAACATTTTGGACTCAAGATGAAAACAATAATTTTCTCACTGCAATCACAGTTTATAACACTAGACAATTTTCACAGTGCACTAAAGTTCACTACTTATCCCTTCTGATATCAGATCACTTTTCAATGAGTGCTTTTCATAAACAATTGTATTTATAAAAACTTCAATTCTAAGGTCATGTTCTTTTTCACCCTAAGCAGAAAGAAGGAGAGACAGATTTTGATTACAAGCTGATTCTTGTCAGTGTTGTTAACCATTATGATTCTGATGGATCTCACAGTGTGTTACTGCGCAAATCATCATCATCATATTCTGCCAGGGTTGAGCTTTGTTAGCCCAGTCAATCTTTAAATATCAGGCCAAGGGCAGTCATATGAAAATTCTTGAAGTTCAATGTTTGGACTGACAATGAGATGTGTTTTCCCATGCTTCTTACAATACAACAATTCAACTCACATTATTGTTCCATCCTCAGCAGCACTCCAGAACATGTAGGGGACATTTGGAGCAGTTGCAAGGCGTTTAACTCGACCTGTGTGACAACTACACACATGCGTTGTTTCACCCAAGCCCACATCATGGACTCTGATTCGGCAGTCCCCAGCACCAGTCACCAGGACTCCATCAGCAGATTTTGGCAAAAACTAATTACATCAGAAACAACAGTTTAAGTACAACAACTTCTCATACAATAAGCTACAAAGATTACTGATGATTACTCTTCTGTGAGACACTACACCATAAGCCTGGAACATAATCAGTGATTCAATATCCTGAAGATGAAGGCATCAGGTCTCTTCAAAACACTGGTACATCTTTACCAGACTACATGATGTCACATCCCAGAAGATAGTATTCTTCGTACTCGCTACTATGAGAACTGCAAATCTCACTTATAAAGTTTTCTCTCTTCTGGGATGTGACAGCATGTAGTCTTGTAGAAAGGAAACTGCTGCATCAGTGAAGAATTTAACTGCCTTGAAGTATGTCTTTGACATGCATGATGCCAAATGCTTAAGGGAATATCAAGCTACATAATTACAGTCATAATGTTTTAAAGAAATGTCCTTAGTCACAGATCTGATCAAGGCATGGTTAATAAACTGTACTGCAGTAATCAAATTGCTTGCTTACTATAACAATATTAGGAATACATATTCCTGGTAACTAGTGTCTATAATTTGTTGGTGTGGCAATGCATAATAATTGCTTGACATATAAAGTGAGTAGCATCAAGTTATGGACAGCTGACAGAAAGTTTACAAAATGAAAGCTGACATTTGTACACATGTCTTCAATGAATCTCATAAAAACCCAATTACCTAGGGAAATTCTAATCACATTAAACTGCTGAAAGAACAAACTGCTTACACAAACCTTCATCTTTCAAATCCTCCACAAGGAACCCTAGGCACAACAAAATGATGTAATTATATACCTTAAAGAGATGTGTATGAAGGAAGAAACTGTTCACATTTTTAAAGGGTTTGTTGTTTTATTTCTTTCGAAACTTACTATGAATTCCTTTTGCATTGTGTTTATGCAAAGTAAATTCTCAACAGGACAAACATGTCAGTCCATCTTAAAAAATTACATTATCATCTGCAATGCTTTGAAGGCATCTGGACCACAACTTCAGAAAAATTTTGGAACATCTTCTGTATCTCCATATATTCAATAATGTAATGGCACTCAAATTGTCTTTCTAAGACAATCAGACCATGAAATATGAAAAGATGAATATAAAGCAATGAAACATGGTTACAGAAGGAGACAGAATAATACAGGCAAGAATCCAAACACAAATTGTGGCAACTAAATGAAAGGATTATATACTTGCAACTAACATTTCTGGCCACTCTGCAATGGTATGTAGTACCACAATATATATGAGGAGTTAAACTAAGACAACACTAATTTTTGGATATGGTTAGGCAATAGGATGGACAAAAAAGGATACATTTTTACCATTTGATTGCTTAGTAATACTAAGTGGTCTTCTGGGCTGTGATACCATATGGTTTTATGTGCAGATGCTGATGTTTTGAAGGAACATACTACCTCCAGCTTTGGAGTTCAGGTGGGGGCAGTACGTTCCTTTGAAATGTCAGCGACATTGGCCATAAAACTACACAGTGTCACAACCAAGAAAACCATAACTTTAATAATCACTGCCACAGAACCTTCATAATTTAATAATGCTACTCAAAGGTGACAACTAGGAGTAGGGATAGCTCAGTTGGTATAGTGATGGGCTATGAGCTGGATGGCCAGGGTTTGACTCCCAGCAGATGCAAGAATTTTCTCTCCCCCACAGCATCCAGACTGGCTCTGAGGCTCACCCAGCTTCATGCCCAATGGTTACCAGGGACAATCTCAATGGGGGGTAAAGTGGCTGAGGCGTGAAGCTGACCATTCACCTCCATTTAGTGTCAAGGTGAGGCTACACCTCCATTCCCCCATGTCTCCATGGCATCATACTTGATTAATTAAACACAAGGACAACTTTACTTTTTACACGAATTGAAATGGGTAGTGAAATTCATAATGTTAACTCCATGATGCCTTTAGCTAACAAACACATTTATTGGAAAAAATATATATAAATTTTTATCAGTTCTAAATCCTGTGATAAATTAAATGTCATGGTAAATAAAAGGGTAATGTCTGTGCTTAATTAAAGTCCACACCATGAAGATATATGGGGGAATGAAGGTACAGCTCCATCATTCTTGACCTCTGCACTAGATGGATATGGGTGATCAGCTTCAAGCCATAGCCACTTTTTTTTTTTTTTACTGGCTCTACAGCCCCCTTGGGCCCTGGACTCTGATTTTCAGTTTCATGATCATTTTGCAGACGGTAGGACTACTTGGATGAGTGATCAGCTCGTCGCAAGGCCTCTACCTAAACACAGAATAAACACATACAAATACCAAACATCCATGACTTGTGTGGGATTCAAACCCATGATCCCAGCAACCGAGTGAGCAAAGACAGTACCTGCCTTAGACCTTTTGGCTACCGTGACCAGCACAGACACTTTACCCTGAGGAAAGAACCCCCCTTACCCATTGGATAGGAGGCTGGATGGACCCCAGAGTCAGTCTGGACAGACTGGAGAAGACAGAAATCTCTTCCTCCAGCCAGGAATCAAACCCTGGCCATCCAGCCTGGAGCCCATCACTATACTGATTCAGCTATCCTAACTCCAATTAAATGTTGAGGACAGGCTTTTACTATGTGAAATTTGAGGTTCTTACAGACAACATCAAGATTATGAGTGTCTGAGATGTGGCTACATGTAGTTAGTTGGACAGGTACATCTCCATCTTCAAGATAGAAGAAGGTGGGGCCAACAGGTTCCTCCAAAACATGCACACCAATCTACAAAATTACATGGTAGCACATCCAAGAGCATAATCTAAAGAATTCTATTAGCCCTTTCCAGTTGTAATGTTGATATATGATCAACAAAATTTCTTTCGTGATTCTCGGGTCATATATTGATCATGTCATTACTGGCCACTGTATTCATGAATGTTTTGTCTGCCTTCTTCTGCTATCTGGAAGTCATAAATTGATTTTTTTTAGGAACGAATGCCATTTATATATTACGGCATGTCATGGATGAGCAGCATGTTTTTACTTTCAACTGAACCTTGGCCCTCTGGTTTAAAGAAAAATATATACAAAATCCCTTCTGTGAAGCAGATGAAGTATCTATTAGTGATATATTAAATGAAGAACTCGACACTGACTCTGATGATATGGATTTGGAAACTGAAGGAGAAACTGTGAGTGAAGAATCGAGCAACAAAATATCAGAAAGGTAGAGTGAGGGTGAAACAAGCGTTGTTGCGTGTTGACAATGGGTGACAAGAAACTCAACGCATACACATTTACTAAAAATGCAGGTCCACACTTTAACCTTCTGCCAGAGGCTGAGCCCATGGATTATTTTATTTTTCAATAACGAGCTTTTGAATAACACTGTTATACAGGGGGGGGTTGAAAAAAATGTACTCTCATTGTTCGATTGTCAATATCTTTGGAACAAAATGACATGTAGTTACAATTCTTGGCAGTAGTGTAGTGTGATGTTTTCTCAACAGATGGTGAAGGTCACATGAGTCACGTGAGAGTCATGCCACATGCACGCTGCGAGTAGAAGACAGCAGCAACAATGGCTGAAAGGTTGTTCTTTGAACAATGCAAGGCTGTACTGAAGTGGTACTGGAAGTACGAAAACATTAAAGAGGTACAATGACAACGGCAGAATGAGTTTGGAACTCAGCCACCAACATGTCGAACAAGTGCCCATATTCTGGATAAATTTGAAGCCAACGGTACTGTTCATGATGTCATCGTGTTGTTTGATTGGTCCTTTCTTCTTTGAAGGTACCGTAACTGGTCACATGTATCTCGATATGCTTCAGATATCAATTTTCCCTGCCATTCGAGAGCTGTTTGGAGAAGAGAGATTTTAGCTACAACAAGATGGTGCTCCACCTCACTACCATCGAGATGTCAGGGCGTACTTGGATGACACTCTACCTGGACTATGGATAGGTCAAAGAGGTGCCACTGAGTACCCACCACGGTCTCCAGACCTAACACCTTTCAACTTCTACCTATGGGGAACCTTGTAGGATGAAGTTTATCAACAAAAGCCAGCTACACTGAATGCGCTACGAGAAACCATCGAAGCATTGTTGTGCAGCCATCTCACAGGACACACTGACAGCCGTAGTTCGCTAAGCAGTTCGGTGGCATCGACACTGTTTAGCCGCTGATGACGGTCACTTCGAACATGTACAATGACTCTCTCTCTCTCTCTCTCTGCGCAAGAATTGTAACTACATGTCATTTTGTTCCAAAGATACTGACTATCAAAGAGTGAGTACAATTTTTTGGACCCCTCTGTAGAGACAAACAGGTACACAAGAGACAAAACTGTCGAACTTGAGCTAAGGACATGGTCCACATGGGGTAGGTGGTTTGATTAGTCTGTTTTTGAAGTGAAGGCGTTTCTAGGTCTAATTTTAAACATGGACCTAATCCCATTACCCAACATAAAAGGCTGCTTGTCTAGTGAGAGGAAAACACAGATACAATTTTTTGGTGATATGATTTCCAGAGATCACTTCTTACAGATATTTTGGATGATACGAGTGGTGAAACTGTACCACCAAAGAAAGTAATCAGGTCATCAAAAGCACAAAGTATATGGGGTGATAGAACATATAGAGAAACAGTTTCAGAAAAATTTTGTGTTAGGTAAAACATTGCATTAAATGAATCAAGAGTTGGGTTCAAGGGCAAAATAATTTTCAAAACTTAAAAATCCTAAAAAAACCGATGAGGTGAATAATCAGAGTATTTATATTAGCTGACAATGACACTAGTTATGTTTGCAGGATGATTCCAAATTATGGAAAACTTACACGTGATGAGTGTAACTTGCCATACTCTGCAAAACCATTCATTTCAAGAATAGTTCTTTCCTTGATGGACAGAATAGGACTCAGTGTGTCTGATATTGAAGGCTACACCTTTCTACTGACATATATTACAGCAGTGTTGAGTAAGCCCAAGAACTGGATAATCGAAAATGTAAGTACACATTTTGTTTGTTTGTTTGTTTTTTTAACTTTTTGCCAGTGTGGCACCAACTTCTTGGGCAAAACAGTTCACTTAGTGGCTCAGCAGGCATTTAAAAATCCCTGCTGACCTGGCTGCAGAACTTTCTAATAATGCTACGATCAGAAAGGGTTAAGTTTACTGTAACTGCAAATATGCTTGTGGGGAGGGAGACACTGTCTGGAAAATAACAAAATACATTACAAATGAAAAGGTTGAACACTGAGAGATAAGTATGTGGGCTATACCTTCACTGAAAATATATTCCCATGATGACCAGTTGATACAGTGTGGATTTTCTTATGCAAGAAAGGATCCCAGAGGATGACCTGCACATCATCTGAAGCAGATGCAAGAGTCCTAAAATGAAAAATGCATATAGTTAAATTGGAATATTCAAACCAACATTTGTAGCTGTCAGGCATGAAGAATCCATTTGTAATGCCAACACATGATACTAAGAGTGAACCATGCTAAAATGAAGACTGGGAATTGGTGATAAGTAGATTTATGGCATTGGTCTAAATGTATAGTAGATGAATTTTATTATGTACATATTCTACAGGGAAGTGCACAAAATTATCCAGTATTTGAACTATTAATAAAATTGCTATTTCAATTACAATACTAGAAATTCTCATACAAAAAGAAAGACCACTGCATGGAGATTTATTTTCTGTGAATCAAGTGTTCAATATGACCACTATTATGTCCAGAAACATCTTCAACATGAACTCTGATGTTATTGATTACTTGCTGGCACATATCCTCAGTTATCTCGTTGCAGGCCTCAATGATTAGTAATCTCTAAAATTATTTATTGGGATCCATCGTAACACAACAACAAAATGGTCTAGGTCACTATCACCTTAGCTACACGTATCGGCTTTTAAAGCCATCATCAGGCAAATACATGGTTACTGCACTCACACACTACTGAACTGCATTTCATTGTGACAGCAGAGCTGGATACTTGACAACTGTGTTACACTACAATAATACAAGGTATAAGAATACAACAAAATGATAAATATATATAAGGGTATATTCATTGACTTGTACATGTATAGTTAACTGCTTGGAGGCCGTGGTGTTAGTGTAGTATTATTTGGTATTTATCTGGAAATGATGTGACAATAATAGCTGTTAAACTTATAATTAACTACTAATTTGGTATTGATAATATAGTTGTTTCTTTGGTCCTGTTATGCTAACACAATGTTCTAGGGAAGGGGTGAAAGAATGCAAGGATTTGTGGAAAGTTTCAAGGACAGATACACCGCCCCAGTTAGTCTCTTTGTATCGATCTTCAAGTGCGTTAGCAAAATGTCGGGGTTTAAAAGGAAGCGTGTTGTGTTAAGTATTCAACAGAAACTTGAAATTATCAATCATTTGGGAAAAAGAGGTGTAGTTAAACAATTAGCAATGCAGTATGGAAGTGGAGAACAAACTGTTCATGATTTGAAAAAACAAAAGGATCAGTTAATTTCCTTTGCTTCGTCTTCTAATTCAAGTGGAATGAAGAAGAGAAAAACCATGAAATAATCAACATATCTTGACAAAGCAATGCTGATCTGGTTTAATCAACTAAGGGCACAGGGAACAACAATAAGAGGAGCAGTTTGTGCTAAACAAGCAATTTTTTTTTTCGAAGCACTTGAACTACAAGGAACTTTTGACGCTTCTTCCAGTTGGCTAACACGTTTCAAGCAGCGTCATGGAATACAAGAAATTAGTATTCAAGGTGAGAAATTGTCAGGGGACTTGTCATCATCAGTTCAATTTTGCACTGATTTTGATAGTTTCATGAAAAGTGAAAATCTGCTGCCAGAACAAATCTATAATGCAGATGAAACGGGTCTTTATTGGAAATGCTTGCCAATCAGAACTTTGGCATTTCAAAATGAAAGACAGGCTCCAGGTCACAAACCCAGTAAGGAGAGATTGACAGCCTTGTGCTGTTCTAGTGCATCAGCAACACACAAACTAACACCAGTAGTTATCAGCAAAGCGAAAAGACCACACTCTTTTAAAGGAACAGTAGCTTCAAGTCTGCCTATCCATTATTTTAACCAGAAAGTAGCTTGGATGAATAGAGCGATATTTAAAGAATGGTTTGATTTTAAATTTGTGCCTCAAGTTTGTGACCATCTAAAATCCAAAGGCCTACCAGAGAAAGCTGTGCTCCTCATTGACAATGCGCCCTCACATCCTAACGAAAGTCTCCTGACGTCAGATGATGGAAATATTTTTGTGAAGTATTTTCCTCCTAATGTTACCGCACTTATCCAACCAATGGATCAAGGAGTTACCTCAAGTATGAAGAGAATCTACTTGTACATATCAAATTTGCTACAAAAGTACATCGATGAAGGCAACGATCTGATGTGTTTCTGGAAGTCTTTTTCAATGTTGGATGCCATATACGAGATTTCAACAGGTTGGGATACAGTAAAGCCATCTGTATTGAAAAATTCATGGAAGAAACTGATGCCTTTCATCACTAATGAAGATGAAGAAATCCATGGATTCACTGGATTCAGTGAAAATGAGATAGCCATAGAACTCACAAAATTGGCTAACCAAGTTCATGGTGGTAAAGAAGTCAACGAGGAAAATATAAGAGAGTGGTTTGACTGACTCGTGTGAGCTGGGCTTGAAAATGTTAAGCAGTGACGAAATCGTAAGTTCAGTGGGGGTGCAGCCAGAAGAGCGGGAAGAAAGTGAGAATGAGGAAGAGGTGGCCAGTGCTGCTAGTAAGAAAATATCACATGGTGCTGCTCTTAATCATTTGGAATCCTTACTAGACACTCTTGAGAGTGAAGAGAAGAGTTTATTCAGTGACAAGCTAATATTATATAGGCTTCGTACATATATCCATAAAAAGGAAAATGCCGCAAAAAAGCAAACGACAATATTAATTATTTTTAAGTGTTAAGTGTGAATATTCGTAAAAAGTGTTGGATGTTGTTGAACACTGTGATTGAAATAACTAATTCATACTTCAGTGTAATGTAAAAAAAAGTATTAAATAGGCCATGAGATTACATAAAAATGAGGTTGAATAAATTTAAATACAGGTAGGCCTATAGTATTATGAAGGTACAGTATTACAGTACTACTTTTAATAAAATTTGTCTTAACCGGGTTTTCGATTAATTGTGATTTCCATCCACACCATTATCCCGGATAATCGAGAGTTGAGTGTACTTCTAAAAAATATACCATGATGAGCGCAGTATCAAATTTTTCATACATAAAAACTTGCCATATTCATAGTCTGTATGGGTTTATTACTTTGAGGGAGAGGTGGAGAATAGTGGGCATACACATATTGTTGTTAGGTCACTGGCGTAACACTGACTCTTAGCATTGCACTGCATGAGAGTCAAGATTTCATGACATACCAAACCTTACAGCTGTCTCTACTGACCATCATCAATGACTCCTCCCACCTATTCTACTTAAAGCCTGACTGCACAGGTAACAGGAAAGAATGTCAAGACAGAATTGCAGACATTGTATGGTCACATTTCTAAAAACAACATGCACAGCATGTTACATCTAGCTTACAATGACAAGTCAGGGTTCAGCCTCATTCCAGACCAGCTGTCATGTCATTTCAGTCTCTCTGTGAAGGAAGATGTTCCATGACTTTAACTAAACAAGCCAAAACTGTTTTTCACTCCTCCCAGCTTCACATTTACAATATATAATAATGGGAAGTCCCCTGATCTAAATTAATATCACTTTCCCTGCCAAAACCAAACAATGCCTAACATTAAGGAGCACTATGGGATCAAAAATTATTTTCGAACATAATGTGGTACAAAATACTAACCATATCCTCCTCTTCAAAAATGAAAAGGACTTTATCAACAAAACACATATCACGCAAAAACCACAAAAAAATAAGAGTTAAATTCACTAAACTATTATTGGATTTACCTTCCCGTTTCATTCCACTCTAAGCAGTTGACACAACCACTATGCCCTTCAAGTTCCTTCTCCAAACCCAGCCTTTGGACAAAATCATCTGTTACATGCACCTTCTGCTGGAGTTTGTAGTTTATGGTATCCTGATAAAAAGATATATGTATGTACAGATACATCAACCACGGTATAACATTATCAACACTGATGGAAACTGCGTCCTAATACCTACTTTAATTTCTCGCTGCCTCATGAGCCGCGCAATATTGCGGCCACTTGCTGTATGTTTTCTATTCATCTCTTGTTGGATGAATACATTTCACTCATAAATGTGAGTTCCGTTTCCCTCAATCCCTTGCATTTTATTCACAAAACAAATCATTTGTTCACATTCTGTAACATTAGTCCCACGATCAACACGGTAACACCTGAATATTTAAGCACCATTCAACGATATGTACGCATACTATAACCACAGCTTAAACAAGAAACCTAACATTAACGTCATTGTTCCTAAGCACAAAAATCAGATTATGAAACAAAGCATGATGTAACCATAAAGCCTGTTACACTGTATAACTTCACTTCGTTTCGATAGTCATTCTGTTAACAGAATATATATATATATATATATATATATATGTGTGTGTGTGTGTGTGTGTGTGTGTGTGTGTGTGTGAGAGATGATTCTCAACGACAATCTCACCGAACGCACCAGTTTCATGTAATAAACATACTGATTGAAATCAGCTGATATATTATTTCTTTGGAATGAACATTGATATCTTCAGGCATAGATGTCTACTATAAATAAACGACAGAACTCACCAACTTCAACAAAATTGCCAATAGCTACATTTCGTATTAACAGTGACTCTACAGTCAACGACATCATATCGATAATGAATCGATTGGACAGAGATTACTGTCGAATGGGACATTACGCCATCTCGGATCGCCATGCAGTTTGGTAGTTTGTTTTCTCACATCGATTGGGCACGTTGATAAACATGAAGATATCGATCGGTAACTACTGCCTCTACTCTAGCGAAGGCAGATAGCTTAGAGCGCTTAGAGCCGAGCGAGTGAGGTGGCCACACTAGAGCCGTAATTACTGTTCTTGGTAGCGTCAAACGTCGCTACTAGGTGGCCACATGGCCACATGGAGCAGTCCACGATACCGAGCACCGAGCGTCAATAGCCATCATGTCACAGTGTGTGCAAAATATGGCGAGTAGTAGGCTACTGAACAGACAAACAGTATCCGCATTATGTTTATTATTATTAATCAGTCGTCGACACCGAAAATAGCTACAGCAGAGGATAACGTGGCGGATCCATACCGTGATGAGTGACAGGTCAGCGAGGTGGAAGTTTGTGCTACTACATCACAAATTAATGGAATATCCCGACAAATTTCTCGAATATTATAGGATGACAGTCAACTCATTTAAAATACTCTTATCCCTCGTGGAAGATAACATTTCTAAAACTCCATAGCGATTCACTATCAAACAGAAACAAGACTCAAGTACCAAATAAAGCACGCGACAAATGAAGCTCGTGTGGCCAGGCGAACTACCGACAAATACAGCTAGAAAATGGGCCGAGACCCATCCGTCCGCGACGCAACCTTCAAATTGCTTTCTCCACCAAGAAACCAGCGTTATTTACTGCTCCGTGTGGCCCTTCTCCTTTAACTCTATGGTGCGTATTTTTTCAGCTTCATATGTGGCGGATTTCGAGCAGCAAATGTTGCTCGTGTGGCCGTGGCCTTAGTGTGTGTTTGTTCACAATAATTAGTATGTTTCCATACAGACTTGGGCAAGTATTCAGAGCAAGGTACTGGTATACTTGTTAGAAATATGATGCTATATCACCAAGATTCATGTAAATGAATTCATTTGCCTCCCACAAAAGCATTATGTGTGATAAAGGTTTCAAGGTTATGAAGGATTCTGCATTCGCTTGGAACAGGAATGCCGAGAATTCTGCTACAGAGAGCTGAAGAAACATTTCCTGCTGTGACAGAAAGGATGGTGAATGTTTTGTGCTTGTGTGCACAGACAAGAATTTTATCATAATCAGTCAATTCTCATATCATAGGAAACTAAACTTTTATGCCAAGCTTGTGTTAGTGTTCATGATCCATCTGGGAAGTTTACATGGTTCTTCATATTGTAACACTTTGAATTATTATGTGGGAGAGGGACCAATTCAAGGAGAGTGATATGGGTATGTATGTATGTATGTATGTAAGGGGTGGGCCATAAAGACCAGCCGCCACAATGTGAACTTCAAACATTATTATGCTTCCCCTTGGATTAGCCATTTATTAATCCTATACTTTTAATAAAGTGTAGAACCCTGCTTATGGGAGAGTCATAAAAGTCACAAGTGACGAAATCTTGAATAAGCTATGGCCTCACAATCACACAGAATGTGTGCGGCTGATTCGTTTTCCTGTAGGCACCTTTAACAGGTTGGATTGTCTGTCAGTCCCAACTTGAAAAGCTGTCCTATCAGGTGGTAGTGTCTGGTAAGTAATCCCAGCACCCATCTTAATTGATCTCTGTTTAATCTCAACAGATCCTTCGTTCTTCTGGCAGAAGGTCCTGCTATAAAGCCCTTTGCCTGTTTGAGTCCAGTTATGGATTCCCAGTATTTTTTATGATTTCTATCGCTTTTTTTGGCAACTCCAATTGAGATGCTGCAAGCTAGTTCAGGTCCTATTAAATGCTGTTCAGATCATGATATGGGTAGGTCATTTAGTACGCATGTGAGAATGAGAAATGCATACAGAAATTTTGACAAGACCTGGAAGAATGAGACCACTTGGGAGACAATTGTGAAGATGTTTTTTGTTAAAGATACAGTTGTGGGGTTTTGGACTGGGTTTGTGTCAGGATGCAAAGTCATGATGGGCATGTATGAACACAGTAATGAGTGCTTAGGTTCCATAAAGAGCAGATAAGTATTGTCTTTACTTTCACAGGGACCACAGCTTTCTCAGGAAGGTCCCTGCATTATGAACTTAACACTTCCTAAGATTATGAAGTCTGTAGAGAAGAAATCTGTACAGAGCAGCTGCTATGGGTTAGATGTAATGATAAACAGCTACAGCAAGGAGAGCATATATTGTTTCATGTATGGTGTTGTACACCCATGACTGATAGAAGATGTGATGCCTTTACAGAACTGTACAAATTCAGAGAAGGTTTTAGTGGCTCCCTGTGGTCAGACATACCCAGCAAGTCATGATGCAAGCCAGGCCATGAATATAAAAGCTGAGGCAGTCTCAGATGCAAAAGAGGAAGTGGATCCAGTGCGAATAACATTTCAGGAGATAAAGGCTGAACCTGAGGTGAGCTGCATGCTTCTGTATGTCCAAGGTTAGGCAGATATCACAGATAGGCAGGAATTGCAGTTGTCTTTCTCATCTCCATCTGTCTGTCTGAGAAAAATTCTATAGCAGCAAAAGTCCTTGGGGAGTCACGGAACTGTTCACAGTTAGTTGCTGGTACACTTCTTACAACCAAGAATTTAAGTTACTAGGACTCTTGTAAGCTAATTACAAGGAACCCCACAAGATATTTATCATGTGATGAACAGGTTTCAAGGTTACAAAAGATTCTGCATTCTCTTGCAACAGGAGTGGCAAGAATTGTA